GTCGAATTTCATCCCCCTAGGTTAGCCAGCAGTGAGATTTCAAGCGAAAATTTCCATACGTTTTGCACACCACTGTAACTTCAGTTAGCTAGAGGAGTGGTACAACTGTAAACAAGAAAGCATCGGGATCCGACCCTATTTACAATTGTACAGTGGAAAATCGAAGTTCTCTCGCTTGCTCCGAAATCCACCCTGGGTCGAACGAAAAGATTTACGCTCATTTCGGGTGCGATCGGGAAAGTTTTGAAACGTGCAAAGTCTCAACAGTGTCTGCTTTGAGATTCAACATTTTTGGTGCCAGTGGTTTGCTGCATTATGACGCATTTTTCGAAAATATTGAAAAAGGCGCGGTCCCACGTCGTAGACACGCGAAAAATCGCATTGTCGCCTATGGGTTAAAGACTACGAACCGCTTCGGTTGGAGAGGAAAGTTGAAAATGCAGTGGAATGTGATCACTCTCTTTCAACGTCATGAATTCCTTCATGCTCAAGGCTGTGCCATGAAATGATGAAGTTAGAGAACTCCAAGACATTCTTTCCTGAGAATCGCTAGCTCTTTGAATGAGTTCATTTACAAGGAACGTTGAAGTCAGTCAGGCCCATTTATGATGAAACGTAGTCTGATGGACGCGTCTTGCGACGCTAAGCTCAACCCCGTTTTCGTATCTGAGGAACGAATCTCGGAAAGAAATTACGAGGAAATCTTCTCACTGTGGCTTTTCACTGTGGCGCCCTCACAATGCCCTATTCTCCCAAAAATCGATTGAGGAGAGCCAGAAAGCAACCCAGACGATTGTACAAGTAGTCTAGTGGATAGCACTCCGGATTTTCACGAAATAGGTCCCTGCGAACGCAAAACTTTTGCATTCTCTCATGGCTGTTCACACGAGCCCAGAAAATGTTTACATTTGGTAAATTTGTTTTTGCGTCCCCACTTGACATGAAGATGAGGCAGCACTTTGGAAGTTTCTTTCTAGTCCATCTTTTTAAGCATTTTTTATGATGAACATTGACACAGAACAAAACAGAGGGACACAGGCTCATAAATAAAAAATTTCAATAACATGCAAGCACATGTGATAGCCCCTCACAAAGTGATCGAAACTAAACAGCTTTTCGCAGTGTGTACAGGAAATAGGAAGATTCAGGGGATGTAGAGGGTGCCACAGTGAGAAAGCCACAATGAGAAGAATCCCTCGTAACTTCTTTCAGAGAATCGTTCCGCAGATAACGAAAACGGATTTGAGCTCAGCGTCGCAAGACGCGTTCATGGACTACACCTCATTTTAAATGGCCGGACTGACCAAATTGACCATTCCTCGTTAGTTAGAAAAAAAAACTCGCACATGCGAGCTGCACATGCGAGCTGCCGCACATGCACATGCACATGCGTGCACATGCGAGCGTTCAACCATCGAAGAGCCACAACTTTCTTCGATTTCTTTGAACTTTGGAAAGCATGAAGCCCGCACGATAAACTGCTAGATTTAAATTTGCTAAATAGCACTCCAAATACTCATAAGCCATCCAGTAAAAAGCACCCGCTATCATTTTCCACGACTCCTCCGATTCAAGTTGACGGTTCCTGAGGTTCTGATGGTCACAAATCCCTAGTTCTTTCTTTCAAAGCAACAGTTTCCAGCAGGGTCCATACCCTCGATACTTTTGCTTTGGGAATGATTCGTGAGCGTGTCACTGAAAAAAAACTCACTTTGGAAAGCCGCTGATAAAGACTTGATTCTGCCTGATTTGACTCCGCCCACTTGCTAGCGAGAGATCGCGTGATTGGCTGTGGAGCCCTTGTGCGATTGCGTGTAAACTGTTCTGTGTTTCAAAGAACGCCGCCCACTTTTTGTTTGGTTTTACTTGCTTGAATCGTTTGATTATCGTACTTCTACTTCGGTGATGGCTGATCAGACATGGAGCGCTCTCAACTCAAATGCCATGAGATGCGCCACACACGTGCCACGGCTTCAGTTCGCGAAGGTATTTGAAAGTTTCTCTTTATATTATGGTTCGCACCTCCATCGGTGATTGCAAGAGATATCTTCTCTCTGCGCCACCGCGTGGTTGGAATACCACCACTCCGTATGTACATGTTTGAATTGTAACTGACGGTGTCTCTAATTGCAAGCAAGCAGTGAAGCTCGATGCGATGGCACAACTTGCTCGTGCAGGGAACAAACACTGCAGTGAAATGGGTTGATCATCTCAGTACTCACCGCTTTAAAAGACGATCTTGATTGACATCTTTGAATATTGTCGCGGCTACCTTTGCTTGCATAATTTCTGTTGTCGTTCCAAATTCATTCATAAGTAGTGCATCAGTATATTTCTCCGTGATAGGAAGAGAAGGACCTGCTAAATCCTTCTTAGCAACCTTTTCGACATCATCATCCCATTTCTGTAAAAGACATGCTTTTGAATGACATTTGACACTTTCACTGATGCACCCAGCTCTTGTAAAAGACTTGAAAACAGCACATATTATTGTCCAATGCTTCGGAAAGTACGGCTTGCATTTGCCTTCAAATTGGAATTCTGCTGAAGCTCAAATGCAAATGTTGGAGTTGTGCATGCAATGACTGACGAAAGATACTGTATGTGTTGTTATCCGCCGTGCGCATGAGTATTATCGATTGACGGCAAAGTTCGGGATTTCTGGTCAAAATTTACCCATCCCCTACAAAAATGCAGGGTTACGCAAGAAGGGAGCATGTACAAATATCGGGATGATTTGGCAGGGACGAAGGCTCTAGGATAGAGCATTGGCCCCCGCCAGCACCAATGACTCCACCCACAAGCTCTAGTGCTATTTTAATCGCCGCTATTGGAGAGGGAAACATTATTCACGTCCTAGTGGACGGGTCCCCCGTTTTTATTACTGTTCACATTTCAGATATCCGCTCTCAATTACAAGCGAAAAATTCATCAGTTTAGTCTCGGACTTTACCTAAAGAACCGAACTTCGAAGGGGTTGGATAAACACTACATAAACTGATGGCGATGCCAACGTCAGTGCCTCAGTTCCGTCGCTCACTTATGTATTTTACAAGAAAGACTTACTAGCTGTTTGCCGGTGGTGTTCTGCCAAATACTTCCATTGCATCAAAAATGGTCATCGCGCAACACATCTTCTGTCCATCTGAAATGTCATTTTCTTCATCATAATTGAGATGAGGTGGATCCCCGGCTAGTAGATGTGATAAGAACTGTAAACTGGGTGATGAACCCACTCACTCACGATGATAGCACTTGCATTCGTTGACGGTGTATTCCAGGCATTCCTTGGCGCCGACATTCGCCATGAGAATGCACGCAACTAGGAGGACGAACAACATTTCGAACACCACGAGTTCTAGCCGCCTCGCATTCCTTTTATGGAGGGAAACAGTGCACTCTAATTGTTCACACATCTGCTTCTGTTTGTACTGAATTCTCATCTGATTCACCTGAAAAGCTGCTTCCCATCACTCCGAACACTGTATTCGTCATTGAGTTGTGCATGTACATGCCTAACAGTTTCTGCAGTCGAAAGGAGGATTGTCATTTAGAGACAATAAGGTTCGAATGATCATTCTGGGCCTATGTTGTAGAAAAATTGCAAGGGCAACTCGCGTGAACTTCCAATGGCTGCATTTAATCCATGTGACAGTGATGGGTGCATGGTTATTTTTGACACCGTACATGTTATGAATTTTAACGGACGGATGTCTCTAGTGCAAGCAAGCAGTGAAGTATCGATCCGATGGCAGCAAACTTCTAGGTGCAGGAAACAAACACTGCAGTGAAATGGATTGATCATCTCAATACTCACCGCCTTTAAAAGACGATCTTGGTTGATATCTTTGAATATTGTCGCGGCTACCTTGGCTTTCATAATTTCTTTTGATGTTCCAAAATCATTCGAAAGTGTGGCACCTGCATTTTCCGGCAAAAGAGGAAGAGAAGGACCTGCTAAATCTTGCTTAGCAAGCATTTCGACATCATCATCCATACCTGTAAAAACATGCTTTTGAATGACATTTGACATTTCCACTGATGCACCCAGCTCTTGTAAAAGACTTGAAACAGCACATATTATTGTCCAATGCTTCGGAAAGTACGGCTTGCATTCTACCTTCAAATTGGAATTCTGCTGAAGCTCAAATGCAAATGTTGGAGTTGTGCATGCAATGACTGACGAAAGATACTGTATGTGTTGTTATCGCCGTGCGCATGAGTATTATCGATTGACGGCAAAGTTCGGGATTTCTGGTCAAAATTTACCCTTCCCCTACAAAATGCAGGGTTGCGCAAGAGGGGAGCACGTACACAAATATCGGGATGATTTGGCAGGGACGAAGGCCCTAGGATAGAGCTTGGCCTCTGCTGACTCCACCTCACAAGTTCCAGTGCTATTTTTCAACGCCGCTGTTGGAGAAGGAAATATTATTTCCGTCCTTGTGGACGGGTCACCCCATTTTTTATTAATGTTCACACTTCGGATATCGCTGTCACTTACAAGCGAAAAATTCATCAATTTGATCTGGACAGTTCGCCAAATTTGCCCATTGAATTGCCAAATGGTGTAGGCGCAACACATCTTCTATCCATCTGAGATGTCATTTTTCTTCATCATAATTGAGGTGAAAGGGGAAAGTAATGAGTTATCAGAAATGATTAGTATGGTTCCATATTTCATTCTTGCTGTTCGTTTGCGCATTAAACATACAGGCCTCATTGTGCCCCTGGAGTGAGAACCAATTTTTTAAAACGCTGAAAACTAGCTTACTTTCGAGAAGCGATCGCTTAAGCCAAGCATTTTGCTAATGTTTTTCTATGCTCTTCTGGAGTTAGGCTGAAGCTTATATGTCTGATTATGCCTGCAAAAGACACTGAAAATAGTCTCAGCTTGTTATTATGACCACACAGGAATCCATACTACACTAATTAGAGATTCTTTGGGTGTCATGACTTCAATCTTTCTCAGAGAAGGCTTTATGTTGAAACTCTTTTCCTTTTCAACTAACGATAAGCCCGTAACGAAATAAGAGCATTGGGAGTATAATGACGTGCAGTCTGTTCTGATCAGAACCCTTCAGGAGAAGTTGGGTGTATCCCAATGAAGAGGAGCATGCATAAGTGTACATCAGTACAAGTACGCTTACTGCGTCATCAGAAATTTTACGTGAAAATAACATAACATAGTGTAAATTACCAAGAAGAATAGATATGCAACTGATATGTTTGATGCCAACGATAAAATCAAAGTAAAAATGTAGTGCTATAATTCGTGCCGCGTACTGCGATTCCCGTCCCTGCAGGGTCCGGGAATTTTTGCCCATGAAAGGTTGGCATAATTGCAGGCGGCACGAATTAATAATGTACACTCCTCCCCTTACTAGAATAGAGTCCAGAAGCTTCCAAAGCTACACCTGGTACTTCTCCAAATCTGACTGCGCTCTCCTAACCGAGTTTGATGTGTTGTCGCTTGCAAATAAGGGTTCCGTAAGGTCTCGGTGCTATCATAGTTGTGGGGGGAGGGACACGCAGCTGTGCAGCGTCGTGAGGCTTAGTCCCCGATGGCGCGTATTTCGAGCTACCAGTTATGACGAAATAGTAACTGCCCTAGGGCTAAGTCTTGGGGGAGAAGACGACCACAACGCTGCACCGCCGCGTGGTCCCCCAACTAAGACAGCACCGTGCTCCTTCTACGTGGGAAAGAAGTCTGAAAACGATCAGATTCAGATCGGTGAAATTCAGGAGCATATATGGCATTCACCCGCTGGAGTGACGCGCTCCTTGGCTTACTTACTTCTACGCTTACTGTCCGTCAATGACTATTATGCCGTTTATGTTCTTCTGTCCGCAGAAAGATAGGGTCTCTCAAATTTCGTCGAGTAAACGTCGAGGACGCTGAAATTTTCATGCTAGTTTTTGCCACTTCAAAAGCAATATCTCTAAAACGTAAGATCCTGAAAAAAGGAAGATAGTTTTGGAAAGCGGAAGGTTTGCGCTTTCTGATGGTCTTCTTAGCTTTCTTCTACATTTCCTAGTTGAGAAGATATCTGCGTCGAGTATGTATCGAGGACGGATCCGGCCACCTGAAAATCCGCTCCCTCCTTCACCATTGCAAGTGTAATTGTTGGCAACGCTTGAAATGGGTCTAGAAAACATCCTCCCAACATAAGCAATAGGAAAAGGGGCAATCGTCATCATCGAATTTTGTCTGAGATAGGATATGCAAGTCTAGCAAAGATACGACAAAGAAAAAAGAGCTAGGAATATGGGCGAGAAACTCGTCGAATTTGAAGGAAAGTTGAGGAGGTTGTCCCAATAGATAGTGCATTCATTGACTGGTTCCACACTTAGGCCCTGTTGAGGTTTCAGCAACTCCAAAAGGCTATTAACAGTAGTACTGAACAATCTTGTTGTTTATGCGTTGACTCGGTACAAATAAGTTGAATACCTACTTGGAAATTTGGGGCATACCGAAAATTTTTAGTAAAAGGACTTTTTCATTCCTCACTCTCCATCCCATCCAACACTTATACGCTCGCCTAGTGAAGAATGTTTGCCTCTTAAACATATCTAAATTCGAACTGATTTGATTCAGCAGAAGAAAATCAACGCCGAAAAAAAGCTTTGCCGAATACTTTTGAGCGATAACTTCGTATAATTGTATGCTACTCGGAAGTTTATCCTACTTACTATAAAGCGCTTCGTCTGTCGTTCTGTCGTCTGTCTGTCGTTCTGTCCCTCTGTCTGTCGTTCTGTATGTCTGTCACGAAATTCCCTAGCTCCTCGGGATCCGCCTGGAGGGACCGGGTCAAGTGTGGGATGGGTGGGCAAGGTCTCACGTAATACAAAACACACATCAGCTAAGCGGAGCCCCGCCCACAGAGGGCGTGGCGTGCGTCGAAATGAATTGTACCAAAGACCAAGATTTCGATTTCAGTGACAAAACGACCTCGAAACTGGGCCAAAAAGTGGGCTAAGGTGTGCATTGGTAAGTCACATCGAATTAGGGAGACCCACCCCCGGTGGGCGGGGCGTTCTCTAAAAAAGCAGTGCTTTATGAAAAATTTCATAACTCGGTTGGGAGAAAGCCTACAGAGCAGAAAACAATTGGTGTAAGGGAGCAATGTCTAAGGTGTTTCCTGCATACATGACGTGGGCGGAGGCCCGCCCAGAATGGGCGGGGCGCGCTCTGAAGTGTACAGCATTTTCTACAAGCCCTCATAATTCGGGTCGGGGAAGTCTTAAAGAGCCGGAAAAAGGTGGATAGAGGTGTATGGAGGAGTGGAGGCCAGCTATCAATGGTGGGCGGGG